ATGCCCATTTAATTCAATTGATTTGTTTGCCTAAAATAACAAAAACATGTCCACCAATATTAAATATATAATTTTCTTAAACAACAAATTTGATAATTGCACTTTCATTTACGTATATACTCATTTTACTCTTTCATCTGTTGTCCTTCCCCAAGTGTAACTGGAGAATAGAGATATGGTCAATTAGTTCTTCCTTCAACAGACAGTAAAACCCTTGCCAAAGTGGGGCGTCTGTTTGGCTGTGCGGGATGTAAAAGTACGATGCCACGTCCGGTCAAAATAAGGATGTAAATCCGAAACCTCGTGTATGGAAAGTGCCTTTATTATAGACCTACTTATTGTATCTAGTGTTAATATGTTCTCGTCCTGAATATACATAAAATATTTGCCACTGGACGTTAACCAACCAACAGTCAATCAATTTATTATCTGAAATATGCATGAAAAAATTGCCACAAAACGTTAAGCAAGCAACAATCAGTTAACTTCTTTCCGATTGATTTCACGTATACGTGTAACACTCCCAAACGTGTCCGATTCCCCCAAACGTGTCCTTAAAATCCCAAATCGCCGAAACGTGTCCGATTTAACATCCCCCAAACGTGTCCGATAATTGTTATTCGCCAAAACGTGTCCAGTTTTAAACGCCAGAACGTCTCAAAGCTTTTTGCGCTAATATGTCCCAAACGTTTTTATAGCATTAGTTTGTTCAACGCCGGTTGTTTATATTTGGCATAATTGCAAGTTTGATTTGCAATATATACATTAATTCTTGACCTTTGATTGCTTAATGTCCAGTGGCAAATATTCCATGCATATTTAGAGCGAACTTGAAAATTGCAATTAATTAGTTTTGTACGGTTAAATTTATAGTTTACTTAGTGAATTCTTTTGTACTAATATACTCCGCTGATGTCTAACTACATGCATATTAATGATGTTTGAAGAGATATCACGGATTCTTTTATCAGCTCTTCAAAGTGTGTACTGATATTTAGTTTTATTTTTGTAGTTTTGTTTCGAACATCAATAAAGAGACATAAACAAGAGGAATAAATTTGAATGTATCATTAAGTAATTTTCAATGTGCATCATCATTTTAACTGGCACATTACGTATACGTGAAATCAATTGTGAAAGAAGTTAAATGATTGTCGCTTGCTTAACGTTTTGTGGCAATTTTTTCATGCATATTTCAGACAATAAATTGATTGACTGTTGGTTTGTTAACGTCCAGTGGCAAATATTTTATGTATATTCAGGACGAGAACATATTAACACTAGATACAATAAGTAGGTCTATAATAAAGGCACTTTCCATACACGAGGTTTCGGATTTACATCCTTATTTTGACCGGACGTGGCATCGTACTTTTACATCCCGCACAGCCAAACAGACGCCCCACGTTGGCAAGGGTTTTACTGTCTGTTGGAGGAAGACCTAATTGACCATATATCTATTCTCCAGTTACACTTGGGGAAAGGACAACAGATGAAAGAGTAAAATGAGTATATACGTAAATGAAAGTGCAATTATCAAATTTGTTGTTTAACAAAATTATATATTTAATATTGGTGGACATGTTATTGTTGTTTTAGGCAATCAATCAATTGAATTAAATGGGCATTTAAACATATGGACAAGATTGAGCATTCACAAAAGGGAGACGTTTATGCTTTATATGGACACGTTTGGGGAAATGGACACGTTTGGGCGTTCAAAAAAAATGGACACGATTGGGCGTTCTAATGAAAAGAGACACGTTTTGCCGCCCTTTAGCACCTAGATATGTTTTTTTCAGTTCAGTGACGTCATATGGACACGTTTGGGGGGATGGACACGTTTCTGAGTGTTACATATAAACGATTGTTCATTGTTTAATATGAAAATGGGGAGCTGTTATATGATTGCCAATGAGAAAACTATAAAATGAACACCAAAGGACAAAGATGTGAACAACAAGAGGTCACAGTTCGACCTTCAACAATGATCAATATCACATACCCTTGGTAAGCTATACATGGCCTCGAAATGACAAAATGTAAAACAATTCAAGAGAGAAAACCGACGACCTGATTTAAACTACAACATAAAAGAAAAAGAAGACAGCAACAAAAAAACGATAACCACTGGATTATAGGCTCATGATTTGGGACAGGAACATGGCACTCACCCCTCCCCTAACCTGGGACATTGGTGTAACAACAAAAAGAAAAGGACTTTAAGTCATCAGATCGGTACTAAGTGCAAAAAACAAAACAAACAAAAAAAGACAAAAGACACAAAGTACCGATCTAAGAGTACTCGTAATTACTGAAATCTACTTCAAAGCCAAATTTTAACTTATAAATACACCATATAAATCACAAAAAAAGTAAGGTATGATTGCCAATGAGACAACTATCCAACAAAGTTCAAATAAAGTGGATGTAAGCAATTATAGGCAACCGTACGGCCTTTTTTCAACAATGAGAAAAACCGATTGCAGTATTCTAGCACATCCGCCTCATCGTTTACCAAATTCAGTAATTGTGGTAGCATAATATTTTTAAGAAACACTTGTTTCACGAAAAATCAGTTTATTACGATAAGATTGAACACTGTATCGCTTGTTTTCGTCGAGATCTTCGGGGTGTGCCATTTCATTTTTACTTCAGTCTAGTTACATTTTCATTATGGCGGACAGGTTACCATGGTAACCAAGTAAACAATAAAATTACACATGAAAGGAAAGGCGTTGATATATATATGAATAAAAAGTCATGTTTATATTGAAATTATTCCTTATAAGTAGAAAACTGAAGTCCGACTACAAGTATACTTTATTTAGCGCGAAAATGTCAATTTGCCTAAAGACAGCATTAACGTAGCTGCGTACCGTATAGTCGGCTATATAAGGCCCCCACATAAAAAAATATGAAACAATTCAATTAAAAAAAAACTATCGGTCTAATTTATAACTAAACAATCAACAAAAAAAACAAATATGACAGACATGAACCAACGACAACCACTGAACTACAGGCTCCTGGGACTGGCACATGAATGTGCCGGGGTAAACAAGTTTGTGGGCGCTCAACCCTCCCCTAACCTTGGACAGTGGTGTAACAGCACACCATAAGAACAAACTTTAAAAATCATTTGGAAAAGGCTTAACTCATCAGATCGATAAGCAGAAAAAACATCAAACGTAAACACAGAGCGGACGTGGTAGGGTATTTATCCATCCCGCATCCCTAACAACAAAAAAGACACTAAGTACAGATCTGAGAGTACTCGCAGTTACTGACGGCTAGTTCTGTCATGCTTAATGTCGCTTTATGATTGTGTTGTCGGGTTGTTAACTCATTGACGCTTACTCGACATTCAATTGTATTCACACACATACATCACGCGGATCTGAAATCAACATGACCACAGAAATCAAAAATAAAAGTCATTTAGTCAAAGCATATGCCTCTATTATACCATGCTGATATAAAAACAAATCTGACTATTTTAAGTCAAACTTTAAAAAAAAAATTCTGGCTTCTGGCTTATTTGGAATTTTTTAAACAAATAACGGACAATAATATAGTTGTATAACTTATAAGAGTACAAAACATTATATTAATTCGGAAGGTTCTTGAAAAGGATTTCAATCCAAGAAAGGTTGAAAAGGAGTGTATGCCGAGGAGAGTTCGAATTTAGAAATAAGAAGATGTGGTATGATTGTCAATGAGACAACGTCACAGTTCGACCTTCAACAATGGCCAAAACCCATACCTTATAGTAACCATTCCTTACAATAAGCCATAAAAGGTCTCTAAATGACAAAAATGTAAAACAATTCAAACAAAATAACTAGCGACCTGATGTATGCACAAAACAATAAACGAAAAATAAATATGATAGACAGCGACCAACACCAACCACTGAAATAGAGGCTCCTGACTTGGGACAGGCACATACAGAATGGAATGTTTACATTACAGCATCCCTCCTTTGTATTCATAACAAAGCTCCATTGCAAAATTTTAGTGAATAAAAATTAATTCCTTAAATGAAAATCGAGTACCTGAATCTTTCGGAAAACCATGAGGTATGAAAAACACCTACGGTATGTCTACACAAGACAGCGTGGGCAGCGTGGATTTAACTTACGAAAAATAAAATAGATTTTAAGAATATGGTTGTTTTGGCTTAACAGTACCTGTTTATAGTGCATTGTGTTTATTTTCCAGGTGGACTGCACAAGAAGAAATCAACCTTCCGAGATTTTATTGGATCGCTGTTGTCCTGTTTTTGCAAACCTAAACAAGTAGAGGAACACTGACAAGACAAGTAATTTATTTTGTGGTCGTCTAAATTTTGTATTTCACTTGCTTAATAAATGATTACTTATCATATATATTTGTTTTATGTAGAATAATAATGTATAATGCCAAACCAAACAAGGAACTAAACGAAAATAAATACAATTATATGCGACCTGGTACTTGTATTTTTTTTATATAGCATGAACATGCACTTGTTTCGGGAAGAAATCGTGTTACATTAAGGTTTATATGAACATTTCAGAGACAAGTACCTGTGGAAAATGAACCTACCCCTTTTTTCAATTTTTTTCTTTCGTATATGTCATTCTCTATGTATCGATTATTGCAACTATTAATGGACTTTCTGGAAATTTTTTTGTATCATTACAACTTTGCTGACCAAATCTCGATAAATTGTTGTCCGTTCCTCTTCCTTTTTTTATGTTAGCTAAAAGAAGTTTTAGTATAATCAAACAGGGAAGCGTTTTACTGTGATAACAAGAAATCAAGAAGTTTTAAATATGTCTAGAAACGATTGATTGATTGACGGCTGTTTGACATCTGGCGGCAAGTATTAAATAATATGAATTTCATAGTCTTCGGTTTTACCCGGTCTAACCTACGTCTTCCCCGCAAATAAGACCGGATGTTACCACGTATTCCCTTAGGTGGAAGAAACGGTTAGAAATAACAAAAACAAATGGGCTGCAAAGTTTACTAATATCTACTAGTATATAAGATGTATATATAAAAAGGAATTCCATATCGTCTGTGTCATTCTGAAAGAACCAGTCTAGTAAACACTTCCTGAAAAATATCAACATTACTTGTTAAAGAAATTCAGTGATGAACAATGAAAAGAATTGTGTTGTTACGACGAAAAATTACGAGATCTTAAGTGTTTATGGTACGTAAAAGTTTCTTAAATACGGTTCAATAAGTATCTATTGAAGTATGAATTGTTTATTTTCAACAAGACGCAAAACAAAACAGAGCTTTATAATTTTTCTCATTACTTATTTTTTTCGTTCCACGCATTTTTTTTCTAGCCTTGTTTTATTTCAAAAGTATACTAGTAGTTATATGAATGAAGAATTGTTGATAAGCAATTTCGCTGCAGTATAAATCGTATTTAAGATTTGAACACGACTAAAAGAATTAGTTAGCTAGATGGTACTATACCTTTCTTAGAGCTTGACCATCTCCCACTTCCAATTCTTCTACCATATGTCCACCAATATCTATTACCACCTGGCCAATATCCTCCATATCCACCTCCACTCATTCCGCCGTATCCACCCATTCCTCCGTATCCACCCATTCCGCCGTATCCACCCATTCGTCCGTATCCACCCATTCCGCCGTATCCACCCATTCCTCCGTATCCACTCATTCCTCCGTAACCACCCATTCCGCCGTATCCACCCATTCCTCCGTATCCACCCATTCCGCCGTATCCACCCATTCCTCCGTATCCACCCATTCCTCCGTACCCTCCCATTCCGCCGTATCTACCCATTCCTCCATATCCACCCATTCCGCCGTATCCATATCTAATGCCTCCATACATCATTCCTCCGTATCCACCGCCTCCCATTCCTCCGTATCCCATGCCACCATAACCTATTCCACCGTATCCGCCACCACTATATCCCATTCTCCCATATCCTCCATAGCCACCATACCATCCACTTCCTTCACAAAATTAAAGATAATTTTATAATGGATGAAATAATTTCAGTAAACTACCATGTAATCTCAATTTTTTTTCAAATACTATCTACATGTTTAACGATATTTGATATAAATAAAGCAAAATTCTTTGAGAAAATCAATATTTAAGATCAAGTTTAGAAGATAATATAATCCATGATGTAGTTCTGGTTGAAAAAAAGATGTCCTGATTTAATTGAATAATAAATAATGAAAATTTCTTCCCGGTGTAGAAGGCAGAAAAAAATGTCCCCGGCTTTCAGAGACCCGCGGAGACGCGCGACCGCATATAATATCATAAAATATCACCAAAAGTTTTCTTTTCCCTTCCAATTTAAAAACGTAAATAAAAACCAGATTAAATCCACCGACTCGCTACTGATAACTTTAATTTTTTTTGCGAGAGGGAGGGGGGGGGGGGATATCTTTATTATCCGATTAATCATTGGAGCTTATTTGCTTATTTATACAGTATCTGCGAGCATTATTTGTTAAAGATAATCTGTCTATGGTCGAAGAACGTTTATCTTCAAATGTAATTTCTGGTTTAATATAAAAATAATGAGATGAGGTATGATTGCCAATGAGACAACTATACATCAAAGTTTAAAAAATGGATGTAAGCAGATATAGGCAACCGTACGGCCTTAAACAATGAGAAAAACCCATACCGTATAGTCGGATATAAAAGGCCCCCACATGAAAAATAAGAAACAATTCAATTGAGAAAAATAACTGCCTAATTTATAACAAAACAATTAACGAAAAAAAATATGACAGACATGAACCAACGACAATCACTGAACTACAGGCTCCTGACTTGGGACAGGCAAATAAAGATAGTGGCGGGGTTAAACATTTTTGTGAGCGCTTAACCCTCCCCTAACCTGAGACAGTGGTGTAACAGCACAACATAAGAACAAACTATAAAAATCATTTGAAAAAGGCTTAACTCATCAGATCGATACAAGGCAGAATAACATCAAACATAAACACAGACCGGACGTGGCAGGGTATTTATCCATCCCTCATCCCTAACAACAAAATGTAACTAAGTAAAGATCTGAGAGTAATCGCAGTTACTGACAGTTAGTTCAAAGCCAATAACAACTAATAAAAAAATCATCAGTACACATTCAACATCCCATGGATTTAGTGTAAATATATCATTAACAGTCAGAGAAAAACATGACCTTGTGTTTAAGTTTGTTTTGTAGTTCCTGTATCATTGACATGTATCCATATTTCTTTTTATTTATTCTTTTAATTTTCTGCCCCAAATTTCAGAGCTCAATTCCTCTCCACATTTTCTAATTTTGAAAAATAAACTAAGGATTCGCAACTTGCTCCTTTATTATTTTTACACAAATTAGATTTTTCCGCTTTCATTTTTTGACAATCTTCGTTTGAAGTGTCATTCAGGGAAAATATAAGTTATTCATAAGTCTTTCAACTGAATAAATGCTATTTATGTTCATCAAAAATCCAAAGGATGACAACCACGAATGAAGTGCTGGAGTATGCTTGTTTGGATAATTATAATAAGATAAGATAAGATATTTATTAATGAACAATCGGTTGCTACTTAAGGACTTCCGTGTTGTATTTATGTCATTATTTTTTTTTTTTTTTTTTTTTTTTCTTCTTCTTCTATTTAATGCTAGACAACATGCCTCCCCTCAAATTAACATAAAAATTGTCATATTTAGAATAGTTAAAAAAAAGAAATGTAGCTTACCTCTATTTTATTCATTCATGTATTAGGTTATATTAGAAAGAAAAAGGTATATTGTAAAATCAACAATTCATACACAATTGCTAATACTGTTTCTGTAATTAGAAATCTCACTTAAGCCATTAACAATAATTATCAAAATGTCGTATTATTCACAAGAAAAAATAAATCAAATTTTTATCCTATTACTCATTGAAATAAAACTAGGAACAATATCAGAAATTTCATTAAAAATTTTCATTCTTGAGTTGTTGAGTTGTGCACACATTATTGCGAAATGGAATTCATCTTCCACGCCTATATTACTTAAGGGGCACAATCTATATTCTAAAGCTGCTTTATTATATCTACCACGTTCAATAGCTAGCGTGCTGTTACCTATTCTTATTTTGGCATAGTTTAAATAACATTTTTATCTTAATTTGATAAAAGATATTTTCTAAGTTCATACTTTACTTTAAATTTTCCATAAGTTCTTAACTTGTTTCCATTAATCGAATTCTCATTATTGAAAAGACCATTTTTCGAAAATGTATTGTAATTTTCTTAAGATTCTTTGCTAAAGCCGAAAGAAATCATTTTTTAGAAAAAGTACATTGATTTTCCAAAACATGAGAACAACTCAATTTGGATAGTAAAATTTAAATTTTTAAAGCAAATCCATCGGGTAAATGATGGTTAACTTTATAAACATTATATAGTAAAGACACTCCTTTGAGTTTAAATGTGCAGCCATAAACCTTTAGAAGACTTAAGAGCCTGAATAAAAATGGGGAACATTCATACTTTATATCTTATATATCAATATTTACTGCCTTTGAATAAACACAAGACGACTCTTTGCAAATATGATTTTACTGATTCCATTGACAAATATTGTGACTTCTGTTTTTTGTTGTTTTTTGCAATGTTTAGAGGCTGTATCTCACTACAATTATGCATAATTGGACTAACACAAGAATTAAAAAGTTTCATATGGGAAAAAATATAGCATTTTCGTCATACAAAACAATGCCTTTATGATTTTTCTACACAGGAGATGTGAAAATGATTAACGTCAAATTAGAATGATTATCTTGAAACGTACTTGAGAAATGTAAAAGTTATTGGATATCGCCAATTGAAAATATATAAATAAAAGCATTATCTAATTGTTCTTCATTTCAGCAACACGGAGTCATTAACCTGCAACGGGTAAAATACAATACGCTAATATGATCTATATAGCATGCATATAAAACAGAGGAGGAAAGAGAGAATAACATATGATTTATATTAATAGCACGAGGAGTAGGTTGTAAGAAAAAACATATTTTACCCCTTTTTCCATAACTAGCAGTTGCAACAGCTATGGTGATTAAAAGAATTAGCAGCTTCATCTTCATCTGTAAACAGAAAAAAAAACCTTCCGTAAAGAAATACAAAACACAACGTCAAATAAAAAAAACAGTTTATAACCCGATACAGATCAATGGTTGGATTGTACTTTTTGCCAACCTATTATCGAACGTATTATTGTTTGTAGTTGACTTCAAATAATGCTATAAAACGATTTCACGTACATCCAGTTTGACAGAATATGTGTCAATCAAACACAGTCATCAGAATCGCGTGTAATCTTACCGTAATAAAGCAATCTATAGTTATGTTGTTTTAATCAAAATGGTAAACTTTCAATGGTATTTTTGAACGCTTTGTTTTGTATTTTTTTAATTAAAATAACGAGTCAAATAAAAGTAAAACTAGAAAATAGGAACTATTTTTGCTTACTTAAAGTTGGCCCAATGTTATGCCGTTTATGGCATTTCAAACCTCCCCTTTTTAATATGTTATATAAAAACTCATCAATAATACCAGGTTTATAATTTAATAAGCCAGACGCGCGTTTTTTCTATATAAAATTGATCAGTGGCGTTCGAAATAGAACCGTTGGAAGGCCAAACCCCCTTCTGAAGTTGAAGTATATTGAAAACCAAATATCCCCAAAAAATTGTGCTAATGATGTTAATAAATATTAATAAATATATTTTGGAAATAAAGCTTGTGAAGGTGTACAATAAATTACTAGGTTTAAACCCGAAATAAGTGTTGTTGTAACAACCCTAAGCAATTTGATATCTTATTCATTCTTGCTGTCTTTAAAAGGTTCATTCCTCCTATTCCCACTTTTTATAAATCTGGTAAGAAAAGTTAAAATTTCATGTGGGAATAGGAGGAAAACTTGTACAAACAAAGGATTATACTGTATAAACATTGTTCAATCAACTTTTAATTGACTAGTGTTTTTTATGATAGGTAATAGGTTATTTTTGTATGTATATGAATTCTGTGTTTCTAATTTAAATAAATATGAAAGAAATGGAAACAAATATAGTTAATTATTTTATTTCTTTCATAACACAAATTATGAGGCTGCATTTTTATTAATCTGTTGAACGTAAATAGGTGAAAGGCTGCATCACCAAACTGTACTGTTGTGACTTCCTCATTGAAATTTTGAAAAATACCCTTGGACAGGAGTAAAATGTATATTTACCATACTAGTTTATGATATCTGCTACTGCTAATGAGTTAGATTCTTTTGAGTTCTGAAGATTATTACACACCAAACTATGTTGTCGTCTGTTAGCAAGAATGGGTAAAACCGGTAGGTTCGTTTTGCGTTTTATGTACATGGAAATCTTGCAAGATGGGAAAGTTTGTTTTTATATCATCTATCATTAATTTATGTGTTCAGATGAAAAAATTTGGGGTTTACAAATTCAATGATTTTTTAATCGTATATTACTTCTGTTTATCTGACTTATTCTTTATTATAAGGTAATTCTTTGAAGAAGAAAAAAACCTTTTACAAATAAACAGTGAAAATTAAAATGTAGCCC